GTCAATAACCACTGCTTCTTTCTGAAGCAGAACGGTTCTGCTTGAAGTGGCACCATTAAACGAAGCAGAACCATGAAATGCTCAAGGGCCTCCGGGGGGAACCCTACCATCCGAAGTTTTAGATTACCCATAGTTATGGATGAAGCAGAACGGTTCTGCTTGAAGTGGCACCATTAAACGAAGCAGAACCATCAAATCTTCGAGGGTCTGGTGGGGGGGGGGGTTGACTCATCTGCACTTTTAAATAACCCATGCTTGCGGTTGAAGCAGAACGGTTCTGCTTGAAGTGGCACCATTAAACGAAGCAGAACCATCAAATGCTGGAAACCCCAGGTGCTGTGGATCAATGGCGACCGAGGGGCTCATTCTGGCCTTTGATTTTCTCTTGGAGCCATTTGTCCATCGTCCTACTAATCAGGGACACGGTTCTGCTTCGGATGGTTCTGCTTGGGCTCCGCCCTAAAACAACAGTGCTTTTAGCAGTTCTGCTTCAGCGTTTTGCGCCGGGTAATATACCGAGCGAGGTCGTCGAAGCAGAACCTTCGAAGTGGAATCCACTAATGGCAAGCATTTCTCGAGACATCCTCCGATAATGACTTTTCCATTAGTATGGTTCTGCTTGGGCGTTTTGGTCCGGGTAATATACCCTGCGAGGCCCGTTGAAGCAGAACTCTTCGAAGCAGAATGCACTAATTCAGGCCCAAGCAGAACCCTGTCGTCGAAGCAGAACCATGAAACTCCAAAAATCCAGATTTGGGCTCTCCCGCCCCTCGCCGCCTAAGCAGAACCCACTAAATTCAGCCCCAAGCAGAGCCCTGTCGTCGAAGCAGCACCAGGAAACTCCGAAAATCCAGATTTGGGCTCTCCCCTCGCCACCGGCAAACCCAAAATTGTATCTGGCCAATCTGACTCTGCTCCAGGGCACAAAACCGCCCCGACCGGCCGGGCCTCGAAAGCCAGAGCAGCCAGAGGAGTTTCGAAAGCTCACCTGTGCACAGAATGTCGGGCCCATGCTTGCCCTTTTTAGTGGCAAAAAATCCGGCCTTCACAGCCTCGCCAGACAAAGCGGCCAAAAGCACACTTCTAAGAGCCCAAAACCATCCCGCTAGGGGTTCCTATCTTAGAAATGAAGTCTGAGGATCGGTTCAGCTGGTCCAAAATATGGTGTTGGTCCATTAAAACAGGAACCAATATTGTGTGACTGTGGCGTTCCTAGAAGCACGGCTGAAGGAACAGCTAGCGATTCTTCCTCTGCAACAATGACCTGCTGTCTGCACCATAAACTGAGCTGTGCAGCTGTCGGAATACAGACATGCAGCAGGCATCACAACGTGCCAGAGTCCACCCTCACACTGAGATCTGCAAGAGGCCTAGTGCAGCAGCACAAGCACCCGAAGGGATCCCCTGTATTTTTGACCCCTCGCAGACCCTAGGCTCGTCTCGCTAAGCTCGGCGAGAGGCCGGGCCAGAGCCAAGCTGTGTCTGCTCAGTGAGGGTTTTTCACTCTCGACAGCCCAACAAAAGAAGCTTGATTGATGAGCATCCAAAACTAAACCCGGTCTTCTGCAGCTGAGCGCACAAGCGGGTCCAAGCTGGGGAACACCTGACTCAGTCCTCGCCGTCTGTTTCCTCCTCCTTCTCGTTCTCATCGGTGGCCTCCTGTAATATAATTGGTCCAGACAGAGAGAGGGATACCAGAGAGGGAGAGAGGGAGAAAGAGAGAGACAGGGAGTTCAGGGTTTAGGGTTAGGGTTTGGGGTTTAGAGAGAGGGAACCATGAAAAATTGCGGACGATCAATCCGAAAGAAACTTAGAGTATTCTGGGAGAGTGGTCACTGGAAGGCCTCATAATGGTAATTTTTGTGGAGGGACGACACAGAGAAAGAGCGGGGGAAAGAGAGCGAGTGCGAGAGCGAGACAGAAAAGAGAGAGAGAGAGAGAGAGATAGAGAGAGAGAGAGCACGAGAGAGCACGACAGAATAACGATCAGGAATCGCAACACAAAACAACAGCGGAGAAAAGGATGCGAGAACAGAGAAGAGGTGAAGAGACAGGAGAAAAATCATGGGAGAAGAAGGGAGAAGAAGAGAAGCTGAAGCTAGGGAGCTAGGCGACAGACGAGAGGGCTGGAAAGAGGATGCTGTGTTCTTCGCGGAGAGTCAAAGAGCACATGGGCATCCCTTGGTTCGCTAAGTTTCGGCCACGGATTCGCATCGCTGGGATGTCTGAATTAAACCAAACTGGAAGCATTAAGACGAGGGCCTCGCGGACTTCTTCTTTTGGGCTGCGGGGACATGACAGGAGCTGTTGCTTTCTGCTGAGCTTATATTCGGGATGCTCAGACAATGGTCTGGATCTTTAGACATGGAAGGATAGGATAATCAGAACCAAATGAGCCTATCATAATTATTTGGCTTCAAACAGGCCCATCTCATCGTGCTTTCAGGGGCCATGGCCACTGTGAGCTGGAAAGATAGCAATAACCATAGCTTGGCGAGCTGATCGCGGAGTGCTGCGGATGATGGGGGGAGGGCATTTATTATTCTTTGCATGAATGATATGGCGAGTCCTTCAGAGTCTCTGGCCAGGTAGCAAGGGCCTTCTTGCCACGGAGGGTCAGCTTCGCCAGGCTCCTCTGAGAGTCTTCGCCGAGCTGCGTAAGCCAATCACCTCGGAACGGCCAGGTGTGGGTAGCAGCCAGGATACATTAAGGCAAATGACACTCAAGGCAAGCTCAAAAGAGGCACTGGGACGACAAAGGGCCGCACTGTCTGCATCAAGGAGCAACTCCTTGGCATCCTCCAAAGAACGAATGTCCTCCTCCAGCAAGATTTCCAGGAAGTATTTCAGATCGTTCCTTGGCTCAATTCATAAACATGAACACTCTTCTGGACTCGCACCGGACCCAGCACTCGATGCAGAAAAGCAACCTGCTCAGCTTGGCAGGCAGCACGTCCAACAGCTCGGGCTCGATTTTTTCCAACATCGACTTGAGCTCGTCAGGCAATGAGTTCCAGGCTTGGTCACTCTGCGGATCCGACTTTTCCTTGCTTGGGGGCTCCTTGGACCCTGCCGGGAGAGCATGCTGTGCGGCAGGCGGGGTCACGGCAACTATTTCGAGACTCTCGCTCGTATTCTTGATGCTGAACCTCCCGGTGAAGAGGTCATCATCCTCTAGATCGCTTTTCACGTGAGACTCCTCATCATCCGAGTCACGATCGCGAATTGCTCTGCGGGTGGCCTGGTCAGCGGGTGCCTTCCTCCCAGATTCAGGAGTCTGAAAAAGGATCCTCGGCTTCTGGGCAGAGACAGGCTCATGCTTGCCCTTGGAGCGGCGAGAGCGGCCCCCCGACTTAGACTCCTCCAGCGAGCCGTCCTTGGTCGAGTCCTCGTTCTCGACCTCCTTCGGCTCCGTGCCCTTGTTCTCGTGAAGCTGCTTCATGTTGTCCATTGCCTCCTGCAAGAGCAGGCAGCTCAGGAAAGAAACTAGGATGAATGAATCGTGCTGGCTCAGAGGTGCAACATGAAACTCAGGAGAGGCTCTCTTTCAATATTGCCATGAAGTGCTGTGGCGGTAGCGAAACCCCTGCATGAAAGAAGCATTTGCAAAAGCTGTGCATGCAGAGCTGAAACAGAAGAACGACCGGCTTTGGAGCTTCAGTCGATTTGCGAAAAAGGAGCTACTTCTTCTCCTTTTTATGGTGTTGACCTCCACGAGGTCGCTTTCTACCGTTTTGGCGTAAGGCCTCCTTCTCCCGCTTGCTCAGCGAATTGCTGTCGTCGTCGCGGTCCCTGTGGTGGTGCCTGAATCGGAAGTGCTTCAGGGGTTGAGAGTTTAGGGGTGGGTCTGGGGGATTAAGGTTTGGAGGGTTTGTGGTCAGTACTTGGACTCGCTGCAAAGGAAAAAACCTTTCCTCGCCTCCTCTTCTTCGGCGGATCGGCCGGCTCTGCTGGCTTTCTGCTACCATCCACCTTGCCGGTGTCCTCACCATCATCCTTGTTGTCGGACTTGTGCCCCTGCTCCAGCTCGCTCTTCCTCGACATGTCATTTTCCGGCTTGATTTTTCTTTTTGGCACCACACGAGCAAAGACTTCCAGGACGTGCTCCGAGTCCACACGAAACTGCCCCACTTTGCGAACCGGGTGGTGGAGCTTGTTGTCCTCCGTCGCGGCCTGCGTGCTCGGCTGCCTGTCCTTCTCCTCCGCGTGCTTGGCGGCCTGGTCCTCTTCCTTGGCCTTCTCGCTCGCGTCGCCGCCCGTCTTGTTCTTCTCCTTCTGGACCGGCTCGGCCTTCATCGGAGGCTTCTTCTGAGCGATCTTCGGTGTGGGCTCCTGGTACGAGTCTTTCTTCGTCGCCGGAGGCTTCAGAACGATCTTCGGCTTGGGCTGCTGGTACTGCGGCGGGTATCGAGGCGGTGGCAGGGCTGGCTCGTCCTCGGTCTCGCTCTCTTCTTCGAAAGGCTCCTCTTTCGGAGGCTGCTCCGGCGGCGCGTAGGGAGCCTCCGCCGGCTTGGCAGGCTCCGACGTTTTGTCCTGCTTCTCCGGCTCCAGCTCAGGCTTGCTGGCAGAGCTCTGGTCAGCCTGCCCGGAAGTCTTGCCAGTGGGCTCTGCGGCCGGCTTAGCAGCAGCAACAGCTGCATTGATCGTGGTCAGCAAGGCCTGCTGGAAGTTGGGCTGCAAGTTTGGCCCCATCTGACCGAAGCCTTGCATGCCACAGCCAAGCCCCGGCAACATGCCTGCCCCAAGACAGGGCATAGCCGGTGGCTGTTGCTGCTGCTGTGGCCCACCAGCAAAGCCAAGGGCCTGAGCAGCCTGCAAGGCAGCCAAATTCGCCAGCACCTGCTCGTTGAAGTTTGCCATGGTCAGGAACAACGGCCAGCTCTAGCAACACTGCCCAGATTTCCCTTCGGTACATGCAGGAGAAGCATATGAATCTGCAGGAGTCGCTTAGAAGAGGTGCAAATGCTGACGAGTGCTCATGCCTAGGACACCGGCCTTTCAACAACACTCCTCATGTCACTGGTTGGAGCAAGCAGCCAACAGCGAAAGCGTTACATCTCTGCAGCTTGCTTCTTGCATGCAAACAAGGAGGAAGGAGCTATGCTGTATGCAAAGCAGATGCAAGAAGATTGACAAACTTTTCTCACCCTTTCATAAATCCTGCCAGGCTCTGAGTAGATGCAGGCTACGATGCCTTGCCACCCCTCTCTGCAGCTGCTCCACGGGCCTTGCCACCGGACTTGAAGCCTGTCTGCTTCCATTCTTTGTGGCACCAATAACAATTGTGGTGCCCGTCCTTGTGTGCATCGCAGGAGTGGTCCCTGGAGCAAGGGTGCAGCCCACACGTAGAGCACAAGGCCCTGTATGGCCGGCTTGTCTGCTGGGCCAGCAGCTCCCTCTCCAGCTTTCGCAGCTCCTTCTCGCGGGCGTCCAAGTCTGCTTCCCGGTCGTTCAGATCCGCTTGCCGCTGGTCCAGGTGAGTCTCGCGACTCCTGTCCTTCTTCTCCTCGTGCTCCTCAAGCAGACGCCCCACTCTGGCCAGCATGGACTCCACCTCCTTGGGGTACTTCTCCAGAGGATCCGTCGAGGAACCGGCCATGTCGGGAGCAGCACAGGAAGGCTACGGCTGGGGAAGCTGTCTCAGGGCCCACAAAACACTTCGGGGCGGAGCGATGGCTTGCCCTAAGAATGGTCTCTGCTGCGATCTGCGGCTCTACCTTATGTAGCCTGTGCAAGTGACACCACAGCGACAAACCCCAACAGCACAGGCGTCGGTCCTGCTTCAACCTCTTCATGATACCGTCGTACTCGTTGCGGATAAAGTCGTTCCCGAGGCCCTTCCTCCTGCGAGTGCTAACAGAAGACAGGCGTAACAAGCCTGGGGAAGCCGCCTCGTTAGTCGGTCTTACTTTATGATTAGTTGCAAGCAAACCTGGCACTTGTTCGGGTCCTCTTGTGGGACTTGAAGAGGCTTTTGAGCAGGGAAGTCACATCAGCCAAATTTTTGGCATTGGAGATCGTCACATCCGTGAGGTTCTTGCCGATAACTGGGTTGCAAAGAGAGAGATTTAAATTAAAACCCGTGCGAGCGCAAGCAAACGTCCAACATGATCCGAGTTGCGGAGCTGTGCAACCTCGCCCAATCGTGCCCTCCAGCACCCAGTAGCCGCGGTCACCTGCTCAAAAACTGAATCCTTCAGCAAAGAATGAAAGCATAAGCACGTGACAAGACAAGCTCCGGCCATTGAACCTGCGTCAGAGCATCAGTCTTCCCCTTCTCGTCCTTGGACTTGCGGAGTCGGCGACAGTTCTCGTTCATCATGGCCTCCTTGGGTACGTTGCAAACAGAAACAAGTTCTGTGGAACAACACACAACGGTGGAGCTTCAAAACCCTATCATCTGCTGCTGAGTCACGTACTCGCCACCAATGGCAAGCAAATCCGATGCAATCACACAAGGTGCGACATTCGACAAAGACACAGCAATTTGCTTGCATGTCAAGTCGTCCAAACGACCCTGTCGTGCACCTCGGTTGAACTCTTTGGGCGGCAGAGCAAAGATGCTCATGAGGTCGTTGTAATCCTCGTCTTGGGATGTGTGGCCCCCCGACGAAGACGAGCCTCGGGTTCACCAATGAGGCTTGGAATCTTCCAGTGATGGAAAGAAATCTGAGAAAGGTCCGAGAACCTCAACAAAACCCCTAGAATTTTGTAAAGCAGCTTCTCTTGCGCTTCTTCTTGTCCTTCTTGCGACCGCTGCTCTCGGGCTCCTTGCCGTCAAAACCGCCTTGGGTTCAAGTCCCGGGTTGAGATTGACTCGTCCGAAGCCATCGAAAGTGTGTTCTTAACCGAAGCAAAGCGGAAACAGTATCCCTGCAGTATACAAGACTCTGCTCAAACAAGGAACCGGTTGACAAAGCTTTGGCGAGACGACTGTGTGCCGAGCTCATGAGAAAGGTGCTTGCAGCTCGCGTCTCGGCATCGGCCTCTGGATCTGGCAGGGATCGGTTGGAAAAGGTCCTCAGCAAGAGAACCCTTTCATATCTTGCGAAAAGGGGAAACAATGCTCGTCAGGGCTGCAAGGACCCAGAGGGAGAGAACTATATCGAGATTAGACACAAGTCCAAGACGGCACTGTCCCTTTCTGCGAGCTACAGAGAAATAGATCTTCGGAGACATAGGACCCAGTGCAAAAGCATAGTTCGGCTGAGCCAAGAGAGGGATAGTGACCAGATGGACCGAGATACGACGAAAGACGGAAGGAAGAGATATGGAATGAGCAGAAGACAACCTGAAACCGAATACAGACAGCGACGAGTGCCAGGAGAGAGTGACAGAGAGTACGGGATATAAAGATTGAAAGATCATTGCAAAAGTGATCTGGGCTCCGAAACAGCCAAAACAGCCAAAATGGGTCCTGGTTGGATGCCGCCGCATCGCAGGAGAGAGCGAAGTGCAGTGCCAAGGCCGTGGATGCTAAGCAGCTGTTGTCCGAGCAGAACAGCTGATGCAGGCCGCAAAGCACTGTCAGAGCTGGAGAAGCTAGACAAGAAAGTTCATGAAGCTGCAGCTACAACAGTGAGTGCTGCGACTGTGCAAAAGCGTGAGTGATTGGAAGCTAGAGAGATCGCGGACAGTCCGCGTGCTTGCTGATGCAGCCCCTCCCTGAAACATGCTGCAGAAGTGGAAACCGGTGCCCGTTTTGCAACTCCGAAGCGTCCCAGTAGCCACATCTCTTCATATTGGAAGGCTGCAGATCACTCCTGAGATGGCACAACACAGAAGAGCTGTGCCAAGAACTTGCAGGGACGAACGAAAGGAAAATGTTGGACAAGGTGCCAGTAGCTGCCAGTCATCCATCTCTTCAGCAGCAGCAGCTGCAGCAGCGGCCTGGTGAAAGGTGGTTTGCCAAATGTAGAGTCGGCTAGAAGTGGACGGGGCAGGGCGAGCTTCTATGTAGCATACATTTGCACTCTAAACCAGGCCGAACAAAACCGGAATCCTAGAAAGCTCAAACCTGCTTCACATTCACAGGACGGTTTCAGTGCCTGCTGCGGAGGCACGACGAGGCGGTAGGGCATGGCAGGTTCCATGTCCTGCACCTGGGACCCAAAAAGCAGGTGCAAGCAAGCTACTGGTAATCAGACGACCACCGAATCCCAAATCGAGCAGAATGTCATTTGATGCAGAGCCAAGTTGGGGCACATTGAAAAGGACACCACTAAGAATCCCTGCCTGCAAAGACTGCAAATAAAGGAGGCTCGTATAGCTGGTCCTGGGATCGAAGGACGTTTGCCCAGTGATGGGCGCCCGATGCCGCTCATCCCTGTCCTTGAATCATGATACGGCCCCTATTGTTGCGGGGACCCTGAAGAAGGACCGTGAATGCAACATGAGATTGCCAAACCCACAAAATGCAAGCATGATTCCACGGCCAGCAGGTAGGAGGCGAGCTGCTGCTCCATAGCGGGAATATTCTCCAAGAACAAATTCCAATCCGTCGCGTGCTTCCTGGCATAGAGGAGCTTGGATACCTGACGCACACTCCTCACTCATTGGCACACAAAGCCGGAGACAGAGCTAGAGCTCCGAACGCCATGCATCTCTCCCTCTTCTTCGAGACAAGAAGCTGCCATAGAAAAAGTTCTCGTGTATGTGACCCCGCCGCCGACCATGCCCACTGCACCCGCGTGGCCAGCCACACGATCAATTACACCGCCGCCGGCACGACTCAGGTACCTCGTCTCGTTTAGGTTGGTGCCTGTTGTTCTTCTTCTTCTTGTTGTGGTTGTCCTCGTTGTTGTTGTTCGTGTGTTTGGTGCTACTTGGCATATATGTTGTTGTCTTCGTGGGTGTTGCTTTGTATGTTGGGTATTCCGTTGCTGCTGCCGCTGCTCTTGCTGCTCCTACAATATGATGATTTTGCTCTTGCTCTTGTTGCTAGTGGTGTTGCTCTGTTGCTGTTGGTGCTACTACTGCTGTTGCTGCTCTGCAGCTGCTGCTGTCTTTGCTGATATGGTAGCTGTTCTTGTAGCTGACGTTGCTGCTGCTGCTGCTGCTGTTGTTTTGTTGTTGTTCCTTTTTTTTTTTCGGTGGTTGTTGTTCTAACTACTGCTATTACCATTAATAATAATTACGATTAGTAAGATGACTATTACTATTCTCTGTATTGTTTGAAATTATGACTTGTTCTACTGAATCTTAGTAACTTATGATCATTCGTATTGTTGTGTTGTTGTTGTTGTTGCCGTTGCTCCTGCTGCTGATCTTCTTGTTGTTGCCGATTGTTGTTGTTGTCGTCGTTGTTGTTGTTGTTGTGGTTGTTGTTGTTGTTGTTGGTGTGTTGTTCTTCTTGTTGCCGTTCTTGTTGTTATGGTTGTTGACATTTTCGTTGCTAGTACATTCATTATATATTTATGATGCCGTTGCTCTTTGGAGATGTGTTACGCATACTATTAGTAGCGTTTAGCATATAGTATTATTCGTACGTTGCTGTTGTTGGTGGTGCTGTTGTCGTCGCTGTTGCTGCTGTGTTGTTGTTGTTGTTGTTGTTTTCCTCTTTGTTATAACGGTTGCTCCTACTCTTCTGGCTGTCATGGAATGGTTATTGAGTTACCCTTGTTTTTGACTTCTTGCTGTTCTCATGATCATTGTGATTGCTGATGATGCCAGCAAGAGCTATTGAGCTCCCGTACTGCCAAGCTGCACATTGCGAAGATCCATGTTCAGGGACAGGCACTTCAGAAATCGCATAATGAAGCGGTCACTGCCCAACAGGTGCATGATGCTCCTGGGTCTGGATTAAATCATGCTCATAGATACATGTCCACCCTTGTTTCTTGTTCTTACCCTTCAGGACGCAAACACGTTCAGACCTGGTGCGAGAAAAAAACCAGCCGAGATTCACCCTCCGGTCCCCGAAAGAACCCATGGAGATAACCTCCATCTGGAGGCCACAGGCATCGATGGTGGCCTCGATTGAAAGAGTAAGCTCAGAAGACAAGGCAATACAAGTATGACAAGCATGCATGCAAGACAAGCAGCAGCAGCAGCAACAGAACAAAAGCAGGAAGAACAAGAAGAAGAAGAAGAACAACAACAACACCAGCAAGAGCCACACCAGCAACAACAACAACAACAGCGACAGCAGCAAGAACGATCACACCAGCAATGGTAACAGCTACAGCCATAACAGCAACATGATGTCAGAGCCAAAACCGACACCACCACGGCTACTACTACGACTGCAACCAGCTGCACAAGCATCGACCCTATCCATATAGTTAATCTGAATGTGCAACGACGGCAACCTGGACTCAGCAGGACCCCGCGAGGACACACTCTTTCATAACTGACACATACAATCGGATCCGAGATGCAAGCATGTCGGAAACCTTGAACATCCTGCTCCAAAGTGACTGCTCGCAGATGCAGAAAGCCCGGATATTGAAGCACAGCTGAAGGATATGAGCCGCCGAAGCCTAAGGTCACTGCAATTCCAATGAGAAGTGCTGCACCCCATGCTTCTCGTTCGGCAGTTCAAGCTACATACTCTAATGGTAGCAGGAGGCTGCGATTTCGTTGCCCTCCACAACCGCCGGTTGCGACGAATCGCCCTCTGGCCACTCATGCCTCCGCCTTGGATTTCCGGGATCACCCTGGCCGTTCCATACGATTTTCTGATTCAAAACCCAAAACCCAAAGCCCAGCTGCGTTCGGTGCCACTGCTGGCGTGTGAACGAAGAGTGGTGTGGAGATAGCCAGCATAGCCCTCCGATGCGAAGTCGCAGCACGTAGCCAAGGCCTTGGATATATATTTTCCGACTGAACCAAAATCGCAAATTTAAATTCAGTGGTTCATGTCTGCCGAGCAGCACTCCGTCAGCTGGTCCTCTGTTCTCAAGTCGCTGATAACAACAGCTGTAGACAAACCATCCTGGGCTGTAAGTTTCAGTCTCACTCCCAGTAGTATATACATAAAGCAACCACAACACCAACATCAAAAGACCGTTCGAAGCAACCTGAACAACCAGAATAATGGTATCACCAACAACATCATCGTCATCATCGTCACTGGCAAGAAGAAGAACCAGTAGGACCACCACTACCATTACCACTGCCGCTACCACCATCAGCACATTGATACTATTACGACTACGAGTACTACAAGTGCTTCTACCAGTGCCACAACTATGCTGCTACCGGGCTTCATGCTCGAGTGTCCAAACAAGACCCGCTTTGATATCAAATGCAAGAAGAACATCAATAAATCATAAGAGTGTCAGCAGCAGCAACAAAAACAAAAACAACAGAAACCCGCTACCACCACCGCAAACCTAGACACTGCCTCAAAGAGAAACCTACCCCAGTGAGTGCCAAAATCGCGGATCGTCCGCGAGCTTGAAACTGTTGCAGAAGATGTTTCCGCGGATAGTCCGCGACTGAGCCTGTGCAAGGGCAGAAGACCCCCTGATTTGATTATGATTCGCGGAAAGTCCGCGTGGGTGTGAGTCTCGCGGCTGTGCCGCGTGAATGAGAGATTCGCGGATAGTCCGCGGGATTGAACCAGTCGCGGATAATCCGCGTGAGTGCAGAGGATGCGCGGAGATCCCGCGACAGGAGATGAAAGGAGAGCTCCCCACCCACCAAGTTTCCCATTTCGGCAAAATGCCGCCAAGGCTCATCGGCGAAGCATGAAGAAAGCGAAACCTTCCCCTCTTCCTGGACCACGTGCACGAAGTCCAAGTTTCGCGGCTCATCCCGGAGCTCCAGCATCATAATAACATTTCCCCAGTGCTCAGGCAAACCATGAGTGACCCTGAAACCCTCCATTTTCTCTACCAAAGAACCGCTCACAGCTGAGGCACTCTGCAAGGCTAATACCAGGAAACCCCAAGTTGAAGCAGAACCATGAAATGAAGCAGAAGGGCCCTCGAAGCAGAATCGATTT